TATATATATATATATATATATATATATATATATATATATATATATATATATATATATATATATATCTTTTACATTATATCTTATGTCTATACGTCCACACATATATGTTTCACATAGTTTCAATGGAAATATTATTCTAACGTATTTTCGCCTTCTTTGTACCTCCGTTCGTTTTCCCAGGGAAACCTTTCCCTAGGACGGTTACCTTCATAAATAGAATAGATACACTTTCGACGTATCTGTTTTATAATAACAGTTTATCCAGCATCTACGTAAAAGATGCAAAATATCTCGAACACAGAAGCCACAAAGATTGCATGGCTTCTACCATGCTTCTGCCGCGTAACAGAAACACAATAATTTCTCTTCAAAGTAAGAGCGAACGTACGAACCTGTACGTTGCTGTCTTGGTCACATCCTTCGAGGGATCCTCTAAATAATAATGCTCATACATTCTTTCTCGTTGAGCAGCGTTATTGGAGCGTGAGAGTTAATTGGTAATCATTTCGCGTTAGGGTTAATTAAGGCAAACCACCGTAGGAGAAGATTTACCTCGTGCCTGACACTTGATAGAAATCCCACGAGAATCGCGGCTCCATCGCAAATTACTTTCTACCCACGCTAAGATTTCCCCCAAAAACAGTCGCGTGTCTGTCTGTGTATATGTGTGTGTTTATATCGGATATACATGTGTGTGTGTACGCGCTCACTGTTTTATCTCTATGTGTATATGTATATGTGTGTATACAAGCGCGTATCGTGTAAAGCGAAGAGTATACGACACTCTATCGCTTTCCCACCACGTTCGCTAGGTGGGCGAGGCACCTGCGACCTCTTTTGCTGACCCATTTACAAGCTACGAGATACAGTACGGCGTTGCGATTCTAAGTGGAAAATCGAACTATCCCGGAGCTCTTCCACGCGTCGTGAGCGATTAACGAAATACAAGGCACCAGGTCTTCCGAAGTGTACCCTCCTTACGCTTCGCTAAAACGTCTTCTTCTCACGTTTAACCTTGCGTTAATTTTACGTTCAAAGTCATCCGAAACGAAGGACGCACCTCTCCGCACAGGGATTTGCATGAAAATTGCTGCCACGAATTTATGGCGGACAGCGAAAAAGTTGGAGGATTATGTTCGTTTAAGATTTCTTCATCTCGAAGGTATATTGTCCCTAGTAGCGTGAGGGCGAATGGAGGTTCGTAGGAGGAGTTGAAATTTGGATAGGACTTTCGAAACATTCCCTCTTAGTCGCTTGTCTCCATCTAAACTAAACTACAGACATCAGCAAGAAAAGCGTGCGAAGGTTTGGTATAAATTATCAATATTAAGCTTTCGTTACTATCGCAATTTTCGCGCTACAGTACTCTACAATTTTCTTCACGGCTGTTACTGTGTTACCACGTTCGTTTTCAACATTAATCGTACACGCTGTGTATGTGTGTGTATACGGAAATAGCGATTATATAAATCTTCATGTTCGCAAAAAATGTATTCATTAGGCCAGCTCAATTTCTAGATTGGTTGTGCTCGGAACAAGAGACTGCGAAAAAGAATTTGACTTCAGCTGAACATAATTCCAACACTTTTTAGCATTAACCCGTTTTTCTGACTTTTCCTTTTGCCAGTGTATATGCGCATGAAAAGCGCGCGTTTCATTTCCTATTTCTCTTGGAAAGATACAGCAACTTTTATTGTTTCAAACATACGTCCGGTGTACTTGTTAAACGCGTTTGTGTAAACTCACTCTTTTGTGTAATCTGCAACCGTCCTTTCTTTTTCTCGATGCGCGTATTAATGATTACCATGCACAAACGGCGTGCATTAATTAAATATAATAATTACAAACGAAGCAAAACGAAATATTTAAGTAATAATACTTTTATATTAAGTAAAATATAAAAGTAAGTAAAGATCGCCACACAGTACCATGTATCAATGAATAATTACAAACAATTAATTAAACATAACAAACCCGGATATTAAATAATGGAATGATAGAATGTGCGTAGATAAAAGCGGCAAAAATTACAAAGATATGGACGTGTTTGCTTTCTATCAGCAAAAACTACTGAAAAACACTTTGGAACACCGCGTTCAGCGTCGCGCTGTTTACTCCATTTTACACTTCTACGCAATTAATCACGGACACAGATAACAGAAACTGTACCTGTCGCGGGTCTGTCTTATCGAACCGAAATGACTTCGTCGGCAAGAGTCTATCTATTTACACGTGCGCAAACTGCAAGAATTATTCCCGCGTACTTTCTTACAATTTTCTCGCCTTTGACGTCACGAACCGAAAAGACTGACGTCTGCGATCTCTCATCCATCTCGCAATCGATGCAATTAACGGTAACACTCGACGCGAGCTAGGAAGTAACAGTTGTGCAACGTGTATCTTACTTTCCGCGATGTCAATAATTAACTCGGCTCAGTCTCACGAGATCAATTAGAATATGTGATACGACCAACTCACGCCTGTGGCTCTAGCCCGGGACTCGTTCTCACCCCTTGAGCCGTAGGTCAACACCGCCGTGGCCCCGTCGCTATTCTCGGGGTAAACAACAATACTTGCCCGAGGTAATACCTGGACGAAATAGACTCCCATGACATGGCTGTGCGTCTTCTTCCTCGGCTTCGCGGCTTCTTCTCTCTGCCCCGTGATGCGGCTGTTTCTTCTCGCTTTCTCTTCCCGACGCTCTAATCTCATCTCTCGCCGTCAGCATCATCCCGTTCGCGCACCCGCGTGAGACAGGACATATCACTTGCTTGTTTTGCAGACGACACAACGCGCGGCCACGCCGAAATTCGGTACAACGTGCGTTGGCTCGAGGCCCTAATCGGCCGCATTTCGATCGATCCCGAGGACAGATACTCCTGTGTTGCTTGCTACCGGAGTCGTCCTATCTGCTACGCGCGACGATCGAGCTCGAGGATCAAGCGATCGGCGATCAGGATTCCGTGCGAGCGTAGGAAACGCTCGAGGCGCGCGCGCTCGTTCGATCGTCGGTGATCATTTTACGAATTTACTCGGTGAATCTCGCAGCACCCTCGCGCCGAAAGGAAAGAGAAAGCACGATAATAATATCGGCTCGTATCGGTGACGAGCTACCTAGACACGCTATCTGTCGAAGATCCCGCGACGGAGTTGCTCGTCCTCGAGAGTACGAAGGCGAACGCGTCGGAGACGTAGGTCGCTGCCGCTTGGCTCTTTAAGTTCTAGGACTTTCAGTTGGACGACGCGACGTCGAGAGACTGTCGGTCTTGTTCCTCGATCGCTGCTTGCCCGAGGACGCGTTCGAAAACGGGGAAATTGAATCGCGATGCTGAGAGTCGCGCTGAGGTAGTTTGAGGAGCGTCTGAGTTCGGGCTTGTCACCCGGGAGATTTGTGGACAGACTCGATACACTTACTTTGTACGGTGTGTGTATGTGTGTGTATGCGTATGTGTGTGTGTGTGTGTGTGTGTGTGTGTGTGTATTAAACGTAAATGGGATGCACACCTCGAGAGAAAAATAATTTACACGCCCGCGTGTCTTTGTACTTATGTATCTAGTTGAGCACCGTGGACTCGCGCGAGTACTCGCGCGTATTGACGACGAAGAGAAGTAGAGAGAAATTCGTAGTTTTGTTGTTTCCTTCGTTTGCTCGTTTTTCGTCTGTTTCTTCTTTTCTCTTTTTTTTTTTTTTGTTTCTTTATCTCCTTTTCTTTAACGTAAATTGGCAAATGTCACCTGGCAGTTCCCTCGATCCAGCCGTCGCGCTGGTCTATAGGGATTGTGTTCAAGTTCCCGACTCGTTAACACGTGCAACGCAGTAAACGACCGCTCGAGTCTCACGGTACCTCAAGTGTTTCCGCCTTCTGCCGCACCCGGAAGTACATACAACAAATAGCCGCTTTCTGTTTTGTTTTCCCGCCCCGCGCGGCTTCCAGCCGCTTTTCTCATCTACGGCGAGGTTCCCGCGCGACTTTCAATTCGTCCGGAGGCCCTCTTCCGTTCTCTCCGAGCGTGCGTTTCCAACGTGTGTTGGGCCGCACGTTAGACTACGTAATCGAGTTATCGATATTTGATTATCGAGAATCGCGTAACGTCATATACTATGTAACTCTTCAACGTCGTGATTTAGACTTATGAAGGTTTAACACACATATATAATATTCATATATGCATCTATGATGTATTTAAATAAATTTGTAACATGTACGTATATACATCTAACGAATACGCGCGGTCTCCCGCGCCGGTGTGCGTATGCGTGTGCGTATGCGTATGTACATGCGTGTATACGCACTTCCCTTTATCGAACGCATTAAGTGGTTTGCTGATACTAAGGACAACGAGGATCGGCTGTGTCCCGATGGTTCCGCGTGTCGGACGGTGCTGAACGTGCGCTTGTGAATTAACGCGCTTTTAGTAGTGTCGTGTCGCTGCTTCGCGAGACCAGCGATCGAGATGGAAGGGCCTTGTAGTCATGCGATCGCGACGTGTCCACCCACATCGATGAATATGTAAGACCGTGAACCAGCTCGCGCGCGCGAAACAACGCGCGACCAACCAAACTCCCGAAGGGGCGAAGAAGAGCGCGGCCGACACGAGCGTCTCGTCGAGAATCCTCTCTCCTCGCACTCCACCAGCTGTGCACCGACTGATATCCGGGGTCTCTCAGGTGGATCTCGCGTGCACGCGTGTTCAGCACCGAGAGAGAGAGAGAGAGGGTTGAGGAACGCGCGCGACGTCGGGCCTTTAATCGCGCCGTCCCCGAAACTAGGAATCGCGTCGGCCCGCGGTGTCCCAGTTACCGTCGGTGACCCCTGGCGCACTTTTTCTCCCCCTCCGAGCCCACCCTTCCACCGACGAGCCCTCTAACTTTGTGGTGGCTGGCGGCGCGAGTGAGATACACGGATTCGCGCGTCCGCGAAATTTCAGACGGATCCACGTTGCGTTTCCCTGACTCCTTGGCTTCCCTGACTCCGTGCTGCCGTTGCTTCTCTGTTACGGCGATTATGTCTCGGCGAGAGTACGTTATGAGAAACGGCCGTTTCGTTGGCTTTTGAATTCGTGTGTCGTCCCGACGTATGTACAGCCTTTAGAATTTTATTACGCGCGCAGAATGCCCGCGTCGTTGTATTCCCAACGACACACCACGTGTCTTGCGCGCCGAGTCTTTCTTTCTCTCTCTCTCTCTCTCTCTCTCTCTCTCTCTCTCTCTCTCTCTCTTTCCCTTTTTCCTCTCTCTCTCGCGCGCGCGAGGATCCCGTGGCCGCGATTAAATCGGGAACGATGGTCCCGTCCGGAAATGACGCCTCGGTGACTCGTCCGACAGACAGTCAGTGTTCGAATTCGGCGCCCATCGTGCGCCGAGCGTTCGCGTACGACATTCGAGGGCTAAATAGCGACGCGTAGTAGCAACAGCAACGCGGCCGTTCCCGCTCGCTGACGATGAGACAGTAGCCGTGCGCGCCTCGAGGCGTTTCCTCATGCCGTTGTTGATTGATCCCCCGTCCGTCTCGGCTTCGTGCCGCGATTCGGCCTTGTCCCCCTTCCGCCACCACCACCACCTCCACCACCGCCGCCGCCGCCGCCGCCGCCGCCGCCGCCGCCGTCGCTGCCACCTCCAGCAACCCCCGCTTCCACCGTCTTCGCCGCCGCTTCGTCGCGCGCGGAACCGTTCGCGGCCGTTCGCTATCACAACGAGGACAGCCGAGGCCGCGACGCGCGAAAGGTTACGGGCGCGCGATGCGGATCGGGTGAGCTCGTCGCCGTGCTCGCTCACACACCCTTCTCTCCGCACCTCTTGCCTTTCGGTTTCTATCTCTTTCTGTCGCTATCTCTCTCTCTCTCTCTCTCTGTTTCTCTCCCTCCCTCTCTCCCTCGTTGGCACGCGTACGGGGTTGAATCTTTCTCGCGGAGGTACGCCGCGCAGGCACCCGCGAAAATCCACCGCCGGTGGCCGGAGCAGAACTGTCGCGCCCGAGCCGCAGCAGCCCGCAACACACGACCCAACCGATCCTCTCCACCCCCGCCTCGGGCTCTCTCCTCCTCGCCCGCTCGCCACCCCCCATTTCGCAGCTATCCTCCATCCTCCACGCCACCGCTGCGTCGGTCCTTCTCTCACCCTCTTTGGCCCTCCTCTCTCGCCCTTTCCTCCTTCGCACCCTCACCCTCTCCCCCTCTCTCTTTCTCTCTCTGTTCCGCTCTTCTCTCAGCGTTGCGCCGTTGCGCGTCCCGCAACCTTTGGCTCCATTCTTCTCTCTCTCGCCTACTAACCCCGTTCTTCCTTCCTCGTTTTCTCATCCCCTGTATCCTCCATCGCCACCAGCGCCCCTCCGGTCCTCTCCATCCCGAGCGAACCACCCTCCTGACGATGGTCTCCGCTCTCCTTCCCTCTGCTGCTCCGCTGGTCTACTCTCGCTCCGTGTTTCGCCCATGAGCTTCATTCCGCTCTTGATCTCCGTCAGTCTTCCTACCGTTATCCCCGTGCACCTTCGACCTTACGTCGAGCGTTGGCCAACCGAGTTTCACCTACATCTTGTTACATCGTCCTTCCAGCAGCTCTATGGTGAACCCTTTAAATGATATATGTTCCATGCGTTGATACTCGTACACACGCGTCTGTGATGCGCGCAGGATATTAATGCGCAATGGAGATCCGCGTGCAATCATTAAATCCCGCAATGGTGATTGTTCCTAATCATGTAACGATAAAAATCAATGTCATGCATTTCCAACGTGTGGAATGGCGAATTCATAGCAAATCGAAATTTAATTATTGAACTCTCATAAACTGATGGAATCGATCGTCCGTGGAATATTAGACGTAAAGAATTTAAATAATTAAAGTCCAGCCAAAGTAAGATCACGCCGTTTGAATTAATCGAGGACATCGATTTTGTTATTTCCATTCTTTAAGTTTAATCCTCTATAAGACCTTCAGCTCAAAAGTTATTTACGTCGCGGCATAAATTGAAACAGACACCGCACTTTTGACGTTGCCTTCTAGTTTCCGTGGGTTGAAAAAGGCACACGCAGTTGAAAATGTCGCGCAATCGTTCCTCTGGCCTTATTTTGCATGGAACTTCAGTTGCACGAGTGCGGACGGCCTGTAATGTCAACACGTCGAGTCAAGTGACTTCGTACTCAGTGATTAACTTTAGATTTCATTGCCTTTGTTCCAGCTAATTAGCTTCGCTATAATAATAGAGCGTATCCAAGTTCGACTTGCTATTTTACTTTTCCTCCACGAGTTTATTCTATATATACTGTTTTCACAAGAAGGGGATACGATATTCGGGGTATCCTTCCCCGAGGAAAAGCGCGACACGTAGCGGCATAAAGGAAAGTTCTACGAGATCAGCGTGTCGAGCCAGAGGAGAATTTGTAATCTGCGATCAACTTTCAGTTTTATTAGTTACATTTTCTGTCCTTGCAATAATGGAATATAGTCGACCTACTCAGTTTCCTGCTTCACCTCTCCCTTCTCCTCTCCCTCCCTCACATTACTGTCCGCCGATATTCAAGTCACTACTTCACCGCATGCGGAAAGTCGCAAGTCGAGAGAATTTGCAATCCACACCATTAGACACGCCGAACTCGCGTCTGTACCTTTGCCCATCCCGTCTGTACTCCGCACCCCACCGGATGCGACGTCTTCCGTTTCACGAAACGTTATATAAGCGACTAGGCACGTACGAGAGATCTTTTCTCTCTCGAGGGACGATATTCTCGATATCCTTCGTAGGATTAAACGCGCGTTTTCCCCAAGACGTGCGATGCACTTCGAGGGCTCCGGAAAGGAACCGTGACACGCACCGGCACTCCGACCGATCAGCTGTCGTCTTTTTCTCAAACGACGAGGATGTTTTCCGGTTTTACTGCTCGAAGGCTGTAAAGCCTAATGGAATGCGGGCGCTTTAGTAATACTGCGATATCGTTGTAGCGTTTAAGCGACAATAAGGGCTCCTTCTGGTTATCTGAAAGTACCGTGTACTCTCTCTCTCTCTCTCTCTCTCTCTCTCTCTCTCTCTCTCTCTCTC